CTGTTCGAATGATGCCAGTTTCACCTCCTCTTCGCACACCACTGCCTCCTCCCCACCTCCTTTGAACGGGTTTGGTTCTTGGACCTCCGGCAAGACCTCTTGCCAGTCTTGAAAGACGTGTTCAGCACCTTCCTCAACGTCCTCCACCGAGTCATCTGGCTTCCAACCCCAGATAAGCGGCTTGTGTAGTCACAAGAAAGTACCGTGGTTGGCCCATATCTTGGCCACATCCCGGTGCAAAGGGTCCAGCTACGTCCACTGCCATCGTGAACGCACTCGGGAACTTTTGCCGCAGTCGCGGGCGATCTCGTCCAGCACCACGAAGACACTCCCTGCAATCCCTTCGATGTGGTACATGCCCGTTCAAGATGCGCTGGTACCATGCCCAATCAGCTTCAAATCCTTCTCCAGCACCTGTGTCACCTCCGGCCATACTGTGAATGTAGGAATGTTCTCCCCTTCACGGTATTTTGCGGGATCCTCTGGCGTTTCCACCATGAACTCCGTCTCCCCCGGATTTGCTGACTCACACAACTCTGCCAGCACCAATGTCCGCAACAGCAGTTGGTTGTCTGTGTCCACCAGGGTTTGCTCGTGTGGCTTCAATTTGCCTTTACCCCACCTTGCAGGGCCTTCTCGATCTCTCACTTGTCGAGGTCCACCATCTTCTCGAAGGCGAAGCACAGAGACCGACCTGCACGGTGGCCCTGCCAGGAATGTCCTCACCTTTCCCGACCTTGCCACGTCCATCAAGTATGCCATATTGGAGTCATTCAACAGGCCCTGGTTCTGGAGAATATCGACGTTCACCATCACCCACCCTGTAGGGACCCTCTTTGACCACCATGACGGTTCCGGCCCACAGAACAGGTTGAGGAGGACATGATCTGCCTTCTCAATGCTCCTCCTCATCCTCCTGTTCCATGCGATCTCTGCTGACTTGACTCCAGGTCGAATTGCCAGCTTCGCCAATTGCTCCAGCGGGACTGCTGGGAACTTCTCTTTCAACATGTTCATGTCCAACATGAAGTCCTCGGCGTGAAGCCCACCACCTCCGTGAATCAGTGCCTTCACCACACCTTGGATCTTCTTTTTCTCTTCCTCCAAGCACGCCATCAAGCACTTGCCGTCCTCAGCCGAGACATACGGGCAATTTGCGACAACTTTCACCGTCAGTGTTCCCGCTCTCGGGTGATGCAGCCGGCATTGGCCAGGTCGCCAGTCGATGACCCCGCCCTGTGCCACTTCGCCATCATTGGTCACCAAAACCCCACTCTCGGTTTGACGCAAAATGCACTCACCGGTTGCGGTCTGCACAACTGTTTCTTCTGCGTTTTGCCACTCCTCTTGCGACACCGGTGCCCGAACCCCAGTCCAGTCATGTGCAAATCTGCATGATGCTCCCCGTGCACAATCTGCAGCAGTGCACCAATTTCTGCATGCCACTTTGGTTGCAGGTTTGTCGGAGCTCTGTTGAAGCTGCTTCACCTTTGCTTCCGGTGCTTCTTTGCGATCCCCCACCAACGCGGCATATAGTCAACTCCGCTTGCAGCAGTTGCGCAAACCTTGTCACCACACTCTGCTGTGTTGTAGTGTCCAAGTTGTTCGAATGCCTCCAGGATTGCACCCTGAAGTTGATCTGTGGCTCCTTGTTCAGGATCTGCCTACATATTGAATCCAATGCCCCAATCTGCAACACTGGGTCCGGCAAGGTGACTCCCAATTCCACCGCTCTTGCCACATTGCGTGACCACAAGCGCAGCTTCTCCACTCCATCTCCTGGGATGTTGCCGTTTCCGGCGCCGTCAAGGCCCGCAGAAGTCCTGATTTCTCACCAAGACCTCCTGGTTGGAACCTCTTCATCACCTCAAGCATGATGCTGCCGTCAGTTTCCTGTTCGCAATGATGTCTGACTTGATTGACGACGGCAATGCAGCCAACAGCATGCTCGTCACCCGTCCTTCAAGCCTCGTGGCATTGGGCTTCACCTGCACATCAACCTCCAACCGAGTCAACGCATCCGACGACAGCCACACCTTGTAGACCGCATTCACCTCAACCATGAGCTGCGTCCACCAGCGTGCTGCTCCACCAGACACATCTCCAATCAACGGCCCAATCTCCGTGATCCAATCCCCACATCGAAGAGCGGCCTGGGGTGTGCTCTCATCCGGGAGCTTGGGAAGGGTGACATTGATAGCCCTCAAGTCATCCTTCATCTCATCCTTCATGAGGACCTCCGGGTTGTTTGCCCCCCATTCGAAGTTGGCTTTTCCCCCGTCCGGCTTCTTTTCCTCGGCCAGCATAGGTGGAGGTGGAGGAACGTAGTCATGGCTTGGCTACTGCGCATCCGCCTGCATCCACAACCCATCTGCTTGCTGCCACACTGGAACTCCATGTCCTCCATTCTTGGTCTCATGGGTCCTCACTCTACTCTTCAACTCGTGCAGCTCTCGCTCCAACCACTGTAGGCGAGCCGCTTGGAATCGACCAGGACCATCATCTGGTGCCCATCCACCATGAAGTCCAGTCCACCTGCCATGCTCCGCCTCCATCAATCTAGATGCAGGGCCAAGTTCCTCCCGTCCTTCACCATCATATAGTTCATGCCATCGGGGATAGACCCCGCGATCAGGACCTCCCTGTCGGTGCCCCCTGCCCCCACAATCATCTCGATGTAGGCTGCCGGCTGCTCCCAACATCCCATGAGTCCTCTCATGTACTTCATGACCTCGCTCGCGTCGTTCACGTTGTCGACGTTCCCAACTTGACCACTCCTCCGCTGAGCACCCATGCTCAAACTTCGACCATGGCCAGGGTGGAATCTCCGGCAACTCGCCTCGTGGTTCTTCCAGCGTCTGTGGTGGCGTTCCTGGAGGGCGCTGTGTACCCCCCCGTGTCCTTCTCACCTGCGCTGGCTGTTCCATTGGTGTGAACATCGCCGTGGTTGGTGTCCTCGGTGTAGGAGTCTGACCTCGGTGGCCCTGACCTTGTGCGATCTTCTCGTTCAAGGCCTTCACCTCATTCCGAAGCTCCTCATTCTGCTTTCGAAGCTCTTCAACCACCTGAAGTTCAATCGCTCGCTGGAGATCATCATCTCGGCCCAGGCGATCTTGTCGACCTTTACCCTGATCGAGCCGTTGGTGTTCTCCCAGCTGTTGACCTGGTACTTCGCGATCTCCTTGTCGCTCAGCCTTCCAATGACCACCCCCTTGAGTCAGTAGGTCACGTCGTCCTTTTTCCTGATCAAGCCGTTGATGCTTCTCCGGCTGTTGACCTTGTACCTGATGGTCGCCATGTGGCCTCCTCTCTTTTGTTCGTCCCTGCATCACTCTGCTTTCCTCTTCCACGGATCTCCTCATCCACCTTGTCGGAGGCATTGGAGGACCGGTCAAATTCCGTGCACCCAAGTCACTGTCGATCTCAGGCCAGCCCGGCTTGATGTTGATGGCTGTTTGGAGCTCCTCTTGAGGGTCTCTCCAAAGTTCTTGTGGGCGTTCATTCAACTCTGATTGCAAGGCCGCCGTCATCAGCAGACTTCTCCTCCAAGTTCTCCTGGTCCACGTCCAAGCTCAACAGGTCCAGAAGGTCATGAGCGTCCGGGATCATCTCCTCCGACTCTCCCACACCACTCAGCTCCGACTCCTGTTCAGGGACCACTGGGAGATCTTCTGGCCTCATCTGTTCGCCCTAGTCTAGGTGGTCTTAGAAAAAAGCGTTGGGCTCATAACCTGCAAGTGCAGGCAGAGCAGCGCACCTATTTCCTTGTGCAAAAAGAGCCTCCGGTCATTGACATGGTCTCACATCAAGTCCGGTTCACTTGGTCCATTTCTATCCTCAAAAGATGAGTGCTTCTGTAACAGTAACAAATGACAACGCAAATCGCAGCACAAATATTGGCTTGGGCGCGTGTAGCTGGAAAGAAACCTCAAATAGTATCTCCAAACAGAATCGTATTCTCCCGAGAACAATGTCTCTTCTGTCAACTGTACAAACGAGAAGCATGCGTGGAGAGATCCCCTTTTCCTGTGTGATCTGTTCCTGTTCTGCCACCTCACCTGGAAGAACAGCACATATAGCAAAGTCTGAACAAAAAAGGCTGCAAGGCACCTCAGAATACTTCCTGCGCGCATATCCGTGTAGACTGTTGTTGGGTGTAGATTTTTAGGTGAGTTCACCTTCGTCTGCGTAAAGCATAAGTAGTTGTAGGCTACAAAGGTGAGTGTCCGCAGAAGGGAGTAGAAGAGAACCCACACTATCGTATACCCCAGCGACTGAATCGCAGAGCCGAAGATCAACAATTGGAGAGAGGCTGGCTCCAGCAGTGTCAAAAGTGAAACATCAAACTCTTTTTGCCTTTTCATCCGTTTTTCTCGCTGAGGTCCATCATGCGGCCTCCATGTCCTCCATTTTGTCAGGGCAAAAGAAAGAGGCACCACAGAAACCAGTAGAACAATGCCCAACAGGCTCTCACACTGCCAAACCACTGCCAAAAATCAATGCGAACCGCTATCGCAAAAACTTATGTGCTGCCTTTGGCAGTCGGAGTAAAGTTTCCTTGAACAGCTCTTGAGACTGCAATGACTTCGGCCACAGCAAGTTTGTGCCTCGTTGAACCAGTCAAACACGTTTGTAACTGCACGCATGCCTTTCACAGGCTTTCAGACATTAGAATCACTAGATTCTTCACAAAAGGCACAAACGTCAAACCCCTCCCATCGCTTTGGCTCAGGTATATTCAGTTTGTCCCGCCCATTGGAAGCGGGTACATTGAAGGCCCCCGTTGCAGTTGAGAAAACTGATTGGTGTGCTCAAAGCACCAACCAATCTTCTTTCCTCTTCATCCAAAAATCACTTTTCATCGACAACAGCTCTGTCAACCTCTTCTCTTGGGATGTGAAGAGAAGTACCTATCACTCGTTGCTCTTTTATGCTGCAAACAACCCCGACCAGGTGGCTCCAGTGCCCCAGTGTGCCCCTCCCCGCCGGCCCCGCCCCACCTTCCTCGGTGGCGCAAAAAAAGACCTTCCCACAGCTCGACCTCCCGGTGTCAGTTGGGTCTAAGGACACCTCGACACCTCCTTGCCTGAAATCCACTTAGCTTGCAGACATCTACTGTCTCAGACATGATCTAACATGGAGGGCATCGAGCCATTCAGAACATCTTTCCATTCATGACTTTGAGCCCCTCGATGATCGAGTTGAGTTGATGTGAGAGATTAGGGGAGACTAGAGAATCCTGGTGGGAAGATCCTGCTCAACGCATGTTTGGATTAACCCTAGTACCAGATCTGGCAGAAAGAATTGGATCTGGATCAAAATCTGTTTGGTCAGTGCCGTCCTTTGCTCTTTGCACATGCAACACGCACACTGCGGAAAAAGCCGTATCAAGTCTTTCTGAGTCTGAGTTTGGCCATGGAGATCAATCCCATTTCGGTGGCAGCAAAATCGGTAGTCGTGGGGTGAGTTGCAAAATACATTATCGGAAAGCAAACTCATAATAGTATAGTATATATATATATATTGTATAACATGAACTCGCTGTGCTGCAGGCTGTCTGTGTCTGTGTCTCCTGTTTGTGTCTTCCACCCCAAAAACACCACATGGGCGGGGTAAAGACCCCAGCCAATCGACTTCATCTGCCTTCAAAGCGGGACCACTGGATCCAATGACCATCAGTCCCCAGCAGCCTAATCCGCTGCGCTGCGCATCAAAGACCCCCCATTGAGCGGCTCCCTGTGTTCTCCAACAAGGCGACCACACAAAAAAGAATCGCAACACACTTAGAGTGGAACCATGCAAAAGCTACACATGTTTCTTTTTGTGTTTCGATTGTCATCCTATTACCTTTGGATTTTTTGTCCTCAACAGTGAAGCCTTTCAGGGGCACAAGCCAGGCCAAGGGGCACTGGAGCTGTCCAAGGTACACCGCAAGCAGTTGCAGAAGTGGCCTGGAGACGAAACCAGGAACCACATCTGAGAGCAATGGGGAAAGCACATCTGAGAGCAATGCTAGCGTCTCCTGTAGACAAGTATCATTGGTATCATTGTTTGTTGTGTATTTGTTGGCCTTATTGCTGATTGGGATTGAAAGCATCCTACCTGTAGGGCAGTGTGGTGCGAGCTATCACTGAGCCGAAGCATGCTGAGAAGAATGAAATCCCATCTGAAGCTAGGAGCTCTGTCAAGCTTTCTTCTGGTTGATTGTAGCGACATTGCGCTTCTGGCCCTGCCATCCCCTTGGAGGATTGCAAAGGCTCTGGATGTAAATTTACACACCTGACAAACCACCAAGGTGGTTTGGACTAGTGTACCAAAATGGACGACTTCTTTGGTCACCTTCTTTGCTTGGTACGAACTACAAAAATGTCCGACGTCCTAGCAAAAGGCTGAGGTTTCTTTTACCTTGCTGACGTGTGGTCACTCGACTTGTTGACATAGCGAAGTTGAACTTGGCTTTGGCGATTGGATCCAGCAAGGGGAGGTTGTCCTAGACTGCAGGTGCGCAACAGATGGTGAATCTATGCTGTCGAGCTGCGCTCTAGATGCTGCACAACCCGGCTACTGCCCCCGAAAGGGCATGAAGTCCTGCGCTTCCTCTCTAGTGCTGCATGGATCGTGTTCCAGGATTGGTGGACCAATGCTCGCCTCTGCATACGCACTGCTACAAGACATGCTTGGTCCTGGTACATATGAGCAATCTGGCGGTTGAATTGTATGCGTGTCAACACCTCCTTCAAGCTGAGATAACTGAGGACATTGAAGCAATTGAACACCAAATGTATCTTGTTCAATGCTTTGCAGCTCTATGCTGCTCATATGTCTTTCATGTATGCCATGCTGGATGCTGCTCATGTCGTAGCCCGGTGTCTTTGTGCAAAGTGCGCAACCCTGGAAATATGCTTCGTGCGCTCCGGCGCTGGTGCTGCACGGATCTAGCTCCAGGATTGGTGGGGCAATGCTTTCGGCTGGATGCCCTCTGCCGTATGCCATGCTTGGCGAATATGAGCAGTCTGGCGGTTGAATTGCATGTGTGTCAACACTTCTTTCAACGTCTTGCAGCTCTACGTTGCTCGTATGTGTGTCATGTATGCCATGCTGGATGCTGCTCATGTGGGCTGGTGTCTTTGCGCAAAGCGTGCATCCCTGGAAATGTGCCTCATGCGCTCCGGCTGGAGTGCTGTACGGATCTTGCTCGAGGATTGGTGGAGCAACGTCTGCATTTGGGGATTCCCTCCAGCACTGTACGCGTGGTGTGTGAATTGGTATGTCTGGAAACTGCGGATATTGAGGCGGGAATGGAAATGCTGGCGGAAGCTCCGTTCTTGGGTCGGGGGGAACAGGGTGGTTCGCTGGCCAGTGGATATAAGTCTGGTGCTGCAGAAGGCCGCCCCGGGGGTTTTGGCCAACGCCTTGCACAGGGATATGAAGGAATAGGAGGTGGGAATAGCTGATCTGCATGGACGCCAACTGCGAGAAATGATGTCACCGCTGCTGGGAACGCAGCTGGCGTCACCGGTGGCAAGTTGGATGGTACTTCAGTGGCCAGCACAGGCTTTGGCTTTTGTGTGGCTGTACATGGCAGCCCCGAGCCTTCTGGTAGCAAAGCTGGCCCTTCCGCTGTGACCTGCAACACTGTCGCCACTGGCAAAAGAACTGTCATCAATTGTGGTGTCCAGTCCGATTTGTCAGGTTCGGGGTGTCTTGGGAAGTATCTTCCTCTGGTTCTATCCAAGTTCAGACATGGTAGGTCTCCCAACTGGGTCAGGATCACTTGAGCTCCGCGAGCTCTGCTCGAAGGCATCTGTGGCTTCATGTCTAGCAAAGGCGTTGCTTCTTGGAGAAGCGTCCGCTGCAAACAGGTGCTGGGCGTTGGCAGCTCTGTGGGCGTTGGTAGTTCTCTACAACGTTCTATTCTTGGTGGAGAAGGCCAATGCTCTGGTTCTGGCATCGCCATGCCGAGCGACAGATTCACGACGTGTGGCCCCCCTCGTCACCGCTGTTTCACTCGTCACCGCTCCAGGTGCACACTGATACCGCAGTGGAAATGGCACTTCTTGCGCTCCAGCCCTGGTGCGGCGCGGGTCTAACTGCAGGAAGAGTGACCCACCGCTTGCATCAAAAGGGGACAGTAGACCTTGCCGTGCACCTGTTTCATGGATGGGTATGCTGCTCACGTTGACCGACTCACATGTTGCTGTTGGGTGCATTGGTATGCTGTCGTGTGGGAAGTGACATTGAAATGGAAGTGCGCAGTCTATGTCGCAGTCTATGCAGTCTATGCGTATGTCTATGCTGTCAAATGGACATCTCAAGTCTGGAAGTTGTGACGACGGCTCTGGCGGCTCGGAGCGTGAATGTGGATCACAGGGATCACAGGGAGAAGGAGATGGCATCAGTGGCTCTGTGTTGATGTAAACAGTGAGAAATTGAGGGGGTGGCGGTGGCAGTGGCAACAAATCTGTCGTAATGGGTGGAACTACTGGCAAAGGAGGTGGAGCCGGTGGAGCTGGTACTACAACTTTTCGTGGACGCTTGTGCATCCCAACGCATGCCAAAATCAGCGCTGCAAGAATCAAAATTGCGACTCCTACAGATATGCAAATCATGCCCGTCAAATCTTTTGCTATGCAAGTTGAGGTTGTGGTTGCCGTGCTACTGGTTGATGTAGTAAAGGTTCTGGTCGAAGAAGTGCTTGTTGAGATAGATGTAGTAGTTGTGGAATAGGTGCTGCTGGATGTGCTGGTACTGGTAGTGGTGATGGTGCCTGAGGTGGTGCTTGAGCTAGAGATTGTAGTTGTGA